CCCCCCCCCCACCCCAACCATGGTCTGCTTACCATATCTTCATCTGTCTCCAAAGTAATCTTGAAAATATCGCCCTGCTCAGTTTGGGCCAAAAAAAAGAACATCGATTTGGTCTTATGGGTGGCAGAGCAGACAAAAATCATTCCTCTTTCTGGGTCATCCAGGTCATTCTAGCAAAATGAAATATACAACCGGCATCTTAGAAATGAGTACTTCTGTTAGAATTCAACACACCAACAGGGATTATACAGGTTACCCAAGGCCTAGAGGCACCTGGAACATCCCTATACAAGCTGTGACCCAGGGACAGCCTACAAGCCATGGCCATGAAACAATACCTAAAAATTCCTTTCTCCTATAAACACATAACAAAGCCTGGGTACAAAAAAATAGCCACAATTCCACTCTACAGCCTAATCAGGTCAGTAAAGCAACAACTATTTCCAGAGAAAAATGTCAGAAAAGAGACACGAACTTTAAAGAATCAGCTACCCAACTATGAATAAAACTCTTCCATGTCCACAATACCACCCCCATCAGCCCTGTTCTACATCAACTTCCTTGATTTCTAAGAGGTATCCCCTTGGCTATGATTTTGGGTTGTTTTTTAAATGTTTCCAACATTTTGTATTTCTCTCGCTGAATAAGCTCTTCAAGGGCAAAACACATTTTATACTTCTTTGTATCCCCAAAGCCAAGTACAGTGCCCAGCAGTTAGATGCTCAATAAATGTCTGAGCTACCAAACTGAATTAATTCCCACCCCTTACCAAGAAAAATTTGACTTGCTAAATTTCTTCTCAGGTTTTCTAAAACTGATGGAATCTTACTCAGATACCATGTACTAGAGAAAGTAAGTAACTCCTAAAACGGTTAACTCCAGGAGCTATACATTAATATTAAAAAGACAACTAATCCAGGGCTGAGATTAAGGAAGCAGAGATGAAACAAGGCTGGCTTATGTGTTGGTAACTACTGAAGATAGGCACACAGAAGTTCATTATATTCTACTTTTGCATATACTTAATAATTTTCATAGTAAACTGTTAAAATTAAATGAAACATCATTTCCAACTACCAAGGTACTAACTGATTATGGGAAAACCAGTGGGTGCAAAGATGTTAGGGAAAAGTGTATTTACACAAGTCTCAAAGCTCACCACTAGATTCCACACCAATTACAAAAAACAGATCTTTACAATGAAGAGAGCAGACACACACCAGCTTAAGAAAGTGATCAATGTAGCATCCAATAATGAGACAAACCAACATTGTGTGCCCCTACACGATCTACTGGGAAATACACACACAGATCCCCACCTACGTAATAATTCTATCACAAACATTAACCTGGATATAATCACGAGGGAAAAATTATGGAACAGAGTATAAAGAAATTAGCCCAGACTCTTAAAAAAAATTTCAGTATCATAGAAGACTCAAACAACCAAAATGAGAGGAAAGTATTCTAAATAAAGGAGACTACAGGTAGGCATAAGGGAACTTCAGGGGACAATGAGAGAAAATGGAGTATGAAATATACATAAAATAGTGTATTACATAAAATGGTAAATTTCTTAGACATGATACTGGTAATGTGGTTCTGTACAAAAATGTCCTCATTCTTAGGAGCCACATTTTAGGAGATTCTTATAGTGAAGTGTCATGATGCCTGCAACTTATTTTCAAATAATTTAGCCTAAGTTTATATGTATGTACCTGTATACACACATACACACACACATACATACATACATACATACACAATCATGAGAAAGAGGGAAATGCAGCAAAACACAAACCGGTGAACCTAGGTGAACAGCATTCAGAAATTCACTGTCCTTAATTCTTTTAAAATGTTCTGAATGTTGGAATAGGGGAAAATATGACAAACAGAATGAAAGACAATCTATTGTCCACAAATATGCCTGGCTTCTTCAAACAGAAATTTTCAGGAATTTCAAATTGAAAACATCCATAGGTTCCTCTGAAATGGAAATTGTTAGTTTTTAATTCCCTTTCTCAGAAAATGTTGTTTACTAAAATATTTTACCACCTTTATTAAAAATAACATTTACAAGAAACTAAAACTTGGTAACAGATAAACTAAGAGACTATACTGTAATTACAAAAATTAAGTTCATTTCGCAAATATCTCTCTTATGGCAAACCAAAGGCCTTACCCGTCTCCTAGGAATTGGACAGCGGATATCTGGTTGGTCACCAAAGTTCTTGTAGGTGATGTAGTTTTCAGAGCAGATCAGCACTCCACTTGGACCATCTGAACCTCCCGGAACTTCAAGAGAAAATAAAATTCAGCAATGATTTGACATAACCATGAATTACAATTTAACTTTCAATTCCTCCTCTCCTTCAGCACAACTTGAAGGTACAGTGTGCCTAAAGCTGAGAAACATTCCAAGTGTTGCTTTCCCCGGTGGTGCCAGACAAGGATGGAGCACTTTGGGTGATTAAGCTTGTCCAGGTATCTGATAATGCATCTAAATTTTTTGCTCCAAGCTCAGGACTCAGTTCTCAGCTTCAGACCTATAATCTAACCACCTACTGGACATACATGGATATTCCACTGGCACCTTCAAAACACAAACTCCAGTTTCCTTCCGAGCTTATTCCACTCCTGCATTCTATACCTTAGCAGCGGTTCTCAACCTGTGGGTCACGACCCCTTTGGGGGTCGAAAGACCCTTTCACAGGGGTCACCTAAGACCATCGGAAAACAAAAAGATATTTACATTACGATTCATAACAGTAGCAAAATTACAGTTATAGAGTAGCAACGAAAATAATTTTATGGTTGGGGGTCACCACAACATGAGGAACTGTATTAAGGGGTCGCAGCATTAGGAAGGTTGAGAACCGCTGCCTTAGAGAATATCACCATCAACAAAAAGACCAGAGCAGAAGCCTGGGTATCACCCTTTAATTCTCTCTCCTTTTCCACAATCCTGATTCTACCTCCTTAGCAGCTCTCATGCTACCTATCTCTTGGTTTAGTGAAACAATTTCTTGACCAATCTCCTAGCTTAGTCATAGTACCCTCCATTCCATCAGCTAAAATGTAAGCAGGTACAGGCATACCTCGTTTTATTGCGCTTTGAAGATACTGGGTTTTCATCAAGGCAAGACATTCCACCAGCAAAAAGATTACAACTTGCTGAAGGTTCAGATGATGGTTAGCATTTTTTAGCAATAATGTATTTTTAAATTAAGGTATGTACTTTTTTTTAACATGGTATTGCACATGTAATAGACTACAGTATATAAACATAACTTTTATATGCACTGGGAAACAAATTCATGTCACTCATTTTACTGCGATACTTGCTTTATTGTGGTGGTCTGGAATGAAACCGCAGTATCTCCAAGGTATGCCTGTAATCTTCAGGTAATTATTCCCCTGCTTAGAATCCTTCAGTAGCTACTCCACCACTACCCCTCTACCCTAGCCTTTTGGCCCGAATGAGCCAATCAGAATGAACTTTCAGCTCGCTAAATAAACCATGTTTTCTTGCACTTGCGCCTTTAGGTCTGCTGTTCCCTTTATCCACAACAGAAACTCCTCCTCCTCCCTCTCTGTACCTAGCTAACTCCTAACTAGTCCTCAGGTCTCAGCTTAAAAAGCACTTCTCCAAAAAACTTTCTCTAACATATTCCCTTCCTTTCCCTGGGTTAGAGATCCCTTCTCCAGTCAAGGCACTTAGCACACTTTTTCTGTTATTTATAATATTCACCACCAGACTCAATACTGCATAAAAGGAGACAATGCATCTTATTTTTCACAACCTCAGTCCCAGGACGCAGTCAACAGACTTTGAACATATTGATGGTAGAGACTCAATAAACATTTGTTGAAAAAAATGAAGCCCTCATAAATTAAAGGTATAGGAATGTGACAGCAAATAATGAGATGTGTTCTCTAGTTCCAAAGGTTCTTCCACTTAATAGTCTCTTCCTCCTAAGGTTTAATGCTCAAAGACATGCTGTCTTGTATTATTCTCTAAAATCCTCTACCAACAGACGTATTTCATTTTAGACATCAATCCAAGCACAAGTGACTCAGAACAGAAAGGACTGAATCAGTCTTCCCCAAGCCTGCTGAAATTTAGATGACCACATAGCAGTCCTCATTTAGTCTTTTCATTTAATGAATTAAACTGATACTGATTTTCTAATGGTGAACATCTTTGAGTGCCTACAAAAATCTGACTTTGCTATGATGCATTTAAAACGGATGAACTTGATTTGCTAAACTTTTAGACTTTTGCATCTATAATCATAACTAACCTGTAAGGTTTTTTTTACTGTCCTGATTTTTAAAAATCACTACTGTCCTCCTCCAGTTTGGGCACTGAAGTTACATTAGGCTCATAAAGTGATATAGTAGTTTTAATTCTTTTTCTAGTCTCTGGAAACAAGGTGCCTAAAAATTCTGGACCTTAAGTCTTTTGGGCAAGAGATTTTTGAGTACCGTTGCAATTTACTGAATGGATGCTGGTCTATTCAGGTTCTTAATTTCTTCTTGGATAGTTCTGGTAACAGTTTACCAAAGTATTTCTAAATTCGTCTAAGTTTTCAAATTCACGGACATAGTTTTATCTTGTTGGGTTTGTCCATTTTATTTGCCTTTTCAAAGGCTAGGTTTTGATTTTCTTAATAAGGGAAAGACTGACTATAGTTAAAATATCACAGCAACCAATAACAATCAATATTCCAAGCTGACTGCTCTTCTCATCCTTTCTTCTCTGCCTCCACTAGAGGATAAGAGTTAACCACCACATGAACAGAAACTTTGCCAATACATAGACAAGGCACTCAGGTTTACTACAAATAAATTAGCTTCCAAACCCTATTAAGCAAAATGGGCAAAAAATGGACCATGCAAAATAGAAAAGTACCTGTAATGAGGAAGTTGCCATGTTCCTCCAAAGGTTCACTGTATTTTCGGACCACATGATTTAAACCAAGGTCTAACTCATAGAAAGTTAGTGTCTGCTGGGTATTAGCTGCTGCTTCCCCTGTTGGATCATTGTCGGCTTCCTACAGAGGAGTACAATGGCACAAAGACATAATCAGTACCATGAAATCAAACTTTTAGAGCTGACAAGGACATCAAGATTCTTCCATTTTACAAACAAGGGAGCAGAGTTCCACAGATGCCAAATGGTTTGCCAAAGTATACATTACTAAGTAATGGTAAAGCTAGAACAAGAACCCAGGTCTCCTAATTCTGGGACCAGGGTTCCCTCTACTAGAGGACACTGCCTTCCACTCAAGGGAAAGAATGGTATGCTCCACTTCTCACTACCTATGAAGAAAATATCCCAAATAGTTTCACCTTCCTTTTCAGACAGCTTTCCCCAATAAATACCCTGTTTCCACAGGGAGAGTGTTCAAATCAGAGCAAAGTACAATTAAATAATCAGGTAAGCTCTGAAACATTCCAAAGAATTTCAGTACGGCATTTGGAATATGGAAAAGACTAGTTAGCAGGACAGATACACGATTTGAACAATGAAATAGTAAAGTTTATTTTCTAAGAGAGGACTAAAAAAAAAACAAACAAAGGCGAGAAAGGGACACACACAGAGACATGATCCCCATTACCTCATAATCCATCTCCAGACAAGCAAACATTGGATTTTCAAATCCAACATCTACTCCAACCACATGATACACTAAAGTGTTCGCTTTGTGGGCCTCCAGGGGAGATGAGATGGTAAGCCGGGCGGCAGCATCTCTGTTCAAGATATACACCAATTTCTGTTTCTCAATGGCACCTGTAGTTAAAGGATACAAAACACAAGATTTCCAAATAGTGACTAGAGAGGCTTAAAGAACAGCTATTCTCATCACAATTTTTTTAAAAAATCACTAACTGCCAGCATGAACTCTAAAAATGTACTAACTTAGAATTTGCTACCATTAAAATAGACAACACCATTTTACCCACCAAATAGGGATTGTAATATCCCACTAACTTCAAAAATTTTTAGTGCACTCTAGATTTGATACTGGGAAACCAAACGATTCATAAAATTGCCAGCTTTATTCTTTCCATTAGATCTAGTGATTTGCTGACTGGTCAGAGAGGTTGCCCTCTAGAGGCCTGATCAGATACACAGAATTTCCTTCAATAGATTTGTCAGAGAAGAGACATGAATGTGAATCATCACTTCAGGCTGATGAAAGCAACCATATTCATTGTCTAATAATGTAAAATTTCACTATAGTCTCTTTGCTACAGGTAAAGAAATAGAAAAACACCTATTTCCAACTAGACAGGAAGTAGAAAAGGTGTGTTCAGACACCTTTCCCCATTGTTTTAAAAGGAAAAGCAACTTTAAACTGTGGAATTAATCCATATATGATCGCAACTTTACCCAGTTATGACTTATTGGCACACTGCAAGCTCATAGCATTGTTATCCTAAACTGAGCATCTGTGACAGAGATGCATTCAACAGAGCAAGTCACTCACTAATCATAACAGCTCGCCCTTTGGGATCCACAGCTAAGAACTGGCCAGGAACAATGCGGCGGCATCCACTCTTGCCAAAAGTTTCTTGGTGAATTTTCTCAAACATATTCTTAGATGGCTGGTATTCCAGGATAACAATCCGACCCGAGTCACTGCCAACCACAATGTAGTCTTTGGTGCCACCTGTCAGCCTAAAGGCCATAAGTGACCTAATAACACCAAATACTTCCACAGTTAGTAGGGTGTGTACTTTGCCAGTGTTGGGATCAGGGCGAAGCAGCTCCAAGATCTTTCCACGGGAAACAACAATTTCCTGTTGTTTTGTTCCTAGATTGCCAAAAAATAAAGATCATGAAAAATCAGAACTAATTCAAAAATTAACCTGGATGAATCATAATGCTACTAAAGATAGATACGATTAAATAAATTGGGGGCTCAGTATTTAAAGTTAATTTATTCTATTTGTGAAGGTATTTTTTTCCAGAACTGAAATGATCTAACAAAAGTGGTGTTGAATAAAAGCTTTTTTAAAATGGTTACACAAGTTACTTTCTTAAAAATTTATTTTTCTAACATTTACCATCAATCGGCATTACTGAGCATTGTCCATAAATGGTACTAATGTTTAGCTTCATAAGACTGAAAAACTGCAAAGGCTCTTTCCAGTCCATTTTTAAGGCCATTGTTCTAAGAAATCACATTAACATTTTGTGCAGTTTAGTATAGTGTCTCAAAGAACCTTTAAAGCTGCCATCTAAGATACATTTCACTCATTCCTAAAAAAGCTCACTTGCTCTCATAACTGCAATCAACACTTCCAAATGCATAGGGGTCCCCATCTACAAAATTCCACCTGGATGAGTTGTCATCAACTTTAAACTAAATGTTTAAAGTAACTAAGTTCTTCCTTCCCTAAACTCCTTCTCTGGTCTCAACTAACCTGCTATCAACATTACTATCCTTTTCTTTTTCACCCAAGCTGAAAACTCATATCCTTCACTTTCTTTCTTGCCCCACTGTCAAGTCTTTACAATCTTAATGGCTTCCTATTCTATCTTATATCCTACTCTTACTCATCCCAATCCATTCTCATTTGCTCAATGCCACCACTTACCTGGCCACCTTACTTGCCAAAGATCGTTTGGGTATCAGATAAAACCGAGTACTCCAAAGTGCTTTGGAAACTATAAAGCATTATATAAATTACAGTATTCTCTAATGATTAAATTTTTCTGTAATTCTTAAAAAAATAAAGTTTGAATTTGAAAAAATATGAAGCATAAAAGTAGTAATATTAAAAATGTTACATTCAAAAGACAACATCTGGAGAACTTACCGGAGAAGTTGCCATGAATGGCAAAGCTGATGCCAGTGGCTCGCTGCAAGGTCAAGTTATAGAGGAACATGGTGGCAGCAACACGGAGCCACCCACCACTCCACAATCCAGGTGTTGGTTACACGAAGTCAAAGCAAACTATGAGCATAAAAGGAGAAAAATATCAGCTGGGAACTTCTGGCTGATGGCAGAAGAAACAGTAGAGTAAGGCCTATGGGGGAACAACATATTTATAATTAGAGTGCCTTCTACATACTTTGCCTCTAGTCTCACAAGAAAGCTATAAAGTACTTAATATTCATTTTACAGATGAAGACATTAAGGCTAAGAAATTAAATCACCTATCTGGGGTCACATAACAAGTGGAAAAAATGTTGGGAGTTACGATCTGTACTATTAAATCAACAATGTATTTGCTATTTTTGTCACAGAAACTAAGTAGGTCTACCTATACTTGTATTTGAACAGGCTGTATATTCACAAGTTTCAGAATTCAAAAACACAGCAAAAACCTCCCTCCGCCCATTTCCCTAGCCATCCGTTCTCTTCACTGGGAAATCAATTTCACCAAGTTACATCCATCTTGCCCTCTAGATATTTCCTGTATGGATAAGCAAGAATGTACATTAATACTGTATCTTATCCCTTTTAACTAAAGGTTGGGTACTATATATCATATGTTCACATTATACTGCAATTAATTTATTTTATCTATCTTGGAAATAGCAATCAACAAAGGGCTTCCTCATTTTTACTGTACAGCTGGAGTATTCCACTGAATGGGTATATTAGAATTCATTCAGCCAATACTCTACAGATGAATATTTAGGTTGTTCCCAATCTCTTGCTACTATGAACACTGCTCCAAAGAACCTCACTCCTACACAGGTCATTTATACGTGCATGAATATTATTTTTATGATTCATAAAAGTGAAATTGCTGGATTGAGGGATTCATACATCGAAATTTTGATAGATATTGCCAAATTTCTTTCAAAGAAACTCACCAATTTACATCTCCAGCAATGTATGAGTCCCTATTGCCCCACAACCAGGCCTCTGCTACTCTAACATAAAAATTGGTAATTTAGTGTAGTTTTCATATGCATCTCTTATATAGCTTTCCATCTGAGTGATTAGAATTTGAAATTTAAACCTACTCACAATCAAAAACTAAAACAAAACTGAATTCCTGCCACTTCAGGACTCCCTGAAGGGGGTTCTTCCCATCAGAAAGAACTAAAGACTGCAAATGTATATACCTCTACCACAAAATAATTACCCAAAACCATACCCATAAACAGTTGCTGCTGAAAAATAAACTGAGTTAAATTTTACCTCAATTATTTAGGCAAAAGCAAGGGAACTTGAGAAATCCAAGTAATTATTGTGTAATTAACATACAAATTTGGTTTTAAGTGAGAAAAAGTGTCTTTATACCTAATAATCATTCCTGTGCTGGGCAAAAGCAGGGTGACTAAGAGAGGAAAAGATCACTCTTCCAGGCTGGAAATGGATATAAAATTTCCTACTTGAAACTAAGGAACGTATTTAATGTTTTCCTGGGATCACAGGGAAAGAAGGAAAAGGTCTGAAGTCAAACAAAAAAAGAGTTGGGGAACAACCTACAAGAAAAACAGAGGAAACACATGCTAGACATGGACACATGGACGGACACACACACTCACACACCCAGAAGGGCTTAGACATTGGGAAAGTTGTGCTCTGCTTCAAGTCGGGAAAAATAAGCAGAGAATATGTTGTAATGGCTCTCAATTGAAAAGTAGCAAATGTAATTCTTAAAACATAAAGTATCAGAATTCTAGCATCTTGCTCTGGCCATAAAATTTAAAACATAATTTCAAAGTTGCAGGTATTAACAAATAAATTCATAATGAAATCCCTATCATGTTGTTAACGTGGTCCATGTCGTAGGAGTAACTATATTAAAGGTAAAGAATTGTTTTTTGTTTTGCTGAAAAAGGAAGAGGAAACCACGGGCCACTTCTGAAGCCCAGAAAAGTCCCCCATTGAAAAGCTCCCCCCCCCAGGCTACATTTCATTCTTTATAGCTGAAGAACTCAGCCTCCTTTCCAGTTCCTTTATAACTGAAACCATTCATTCCGATCCTTGGAATTCATTTTCCTCAAACCTTGTTTGATCCAAGTTCCCCAGTTATTCTTTTATGTTGGGTAATGGAAGAAGGTGCATTTTGGAAGATCAGACTAAAACTAGGAGAACTTTGCACCAGGAACCATCAGCAGCCAAAACCTGGTAAATTCTGTGACGGAGTTCTCCCACTTCTATCTCCTGACTATGATTACTAGAAAAAGCATGCGATTGCTCACTCCATGTCTTCTCAAGTTCCAAATGAACATCATCGCATTTAAACTCGACAAGTCTTCAATATACAATAGATATTACTGCCCCATTTTGCAAAAAAAACCTGATCAGAGGCGGGAACAAGTTCCCCAAGTGCCAAAATGCAAATTCAAAACAGGGTCTTGGCCCCAAAACTGTTTCCATTATTTACGCTTTTAACACGCTGGGTTTTTTCACCTTCGCATGTGTCGTTCTCTCTCTCCAAGAGACGTCCCTCCCACCTTCTCACACCTCTCAAAGGTACAAACAGGCCCCAACTGCAGGCCTCCTTCCCACCTTGTGGACAGAAACAGGGAACAATTCCTGGTAGCCGTACGTATACCCCAAGCGTTCCCCTCGACCTCCTCCTCTGCCCGGACCTCTCGGGCCTAGGCTGCCTCAGACTCCCACCAAAAATAGGCCACCCTCCTCTATGGCCGCTGTACGCCTCTGTGGGCCCAGGGAGGTCTGACGGCCGCTTCTTTACCCTGCAGCGGGGGAGGATGGCGGAGATATCCAACAGATGCAGAGTTCCTTCAAGGCCTAAGCCACCTCCAACGACAACCCGCCTGCATCCGCCATTAGCTCTTAAGACAGGGACCTTCCAGTTGGCGCGCGGCGGAATAGATTCCCAACCGGCGCCTGAAGAACATATATATAATTTTTTAATGCACTGGTCTTGCATCCACGCCGCATTGAAAATTATTCAAACATACCTTATGACAGTCACTTTTTCCAAAAGAATAGGAAATGAATAGCCTTTTTAAAGACTTTTAACAAATGAGTTCACTGGGCACTTCCGTGGGCAGCCTTCAGAGCCGGCGTGCCAACGAGGAAGGGGCCTCGCGGGGCCGGAAGCACGAAATGGGAACCAAGATGGCGGACCTCGATTCCCCTCTGAAGCTGTTAGGGGTGCCTCCGCCGCCTGAGGCGGTAGGAGGAAGCCGCTGCTCCGAAATCTCCACCGAGCTCATTCGCTCTCTGACGGAGCTGCAGGAGCTGGAGGCTGTGTACGAACGGCTCTGCGGCGAGGAGGTGGGAGGGCTGAACCTCTTTTTCTAGGAGCAGCCAGAGGCAACGGGCGTAGGATCCGTCAGTCGGGAAATCGGGGCTGTGGGAAGCCCTCTCCTTGCCAAGGGAAACAAAAAAGCACCTACTCGAGGAGTAGTGTAGTTGAGTGTAGTTCTTGGGACTTGCCATCTCTCTCCACTCAGTCTGATGCCCCCAAGCTTGTTTTCCCTGTTATCTGGGTCCTTCGCCCCGCCCCCACCCCTTGACTTCTTGGCACTTGTGTCTCCGCGAGAGCAAAGTTAGATTGAGAGTATACGCCAACTCGCTTGGTTCTCAAAACAAGAACAAAGGCTCTCTTGCGTTGCCTCAGCAATTTAAACATTATGAAACGCTTTCGTCCCGTTATCTCATGTGAGCGGACAGTCTGCAAATAAAGGTGAAGCGTTTTAAGATTTCCTCTTACAGGGAATGATTTGGGGTGTACTAGTGTTTCGGTTAAATGCAGAGCTTTGTAGAAGCTTGAAGTGTAAAGACTCAGGCACAACTGTCTACTCTTTGACAGGTAACTTCATCTTTTGCACCCCTAACATTGTGTCAGATGAGGAGTGCGGACTAGATTCTCGGGAAGATTCCTTTCAGCTCTTAACATTTTGTCTCCTTTCTGCCTCCTTCACTTTTCCGTGGCAATCTGATGCTGTCAGTACATTTTGAATGTCAGTTGGGTTCCTTGCCAGTCAGAAGAAAGAAATCTAACCCCTGAGCTAAAAGTTTAGTATCTGTTCCCTAACACCAAGCAATTACATAAGGTTGAGCAAAAGGCAGTTTCAGCCTGGAGATGGGGGATCATTGATATCGTTGAATATTTTCAAATATTAACTTTCACCAGCTCTAGCCATTTCTGATACGTTTTTCAGCAAGATGTGCTTTATAAAATTCAGTACTTTTGACTTAACATACCTAAGGTTGTATTCATTGAGTCAGTTGATATTTTGGGGAAAATTTAGTCAATCTTACAGACAACAATATTCTGTATTTGCTTCTGATGACTGTCAAGGTGAAGTTTTCCTCTTGAGCCTACTGGACTATTTTAAGAGAAATGTATAGCTAGTATTAATGGTTGTTATTTGAACCATAAGCCACATAGCACGTTAAGCACTTTGTTATCTTGTTTGACTCACACAACAGTCCTGTAGGGTATGTGTTACTGCCTCTATTTTACAGATGAAGAAACGCAAGCGTAAGAAGGTAACATTAACTGAGGTAATGCAGTAAGTAGCTCCACTGAGATAGATACACTGTGAAGAGACTTTTTATAACTGCCACTTTGGAAGTTTCATTTGTTTAGCCATTATATTTTAAATGCATTTCTGTATTGGGCATTATGCTAATGATACAGAATAAAGGTATATTTCTTCCCTTTGTGATGTTCATCTGCTAGATGAAATAAGATATACATAAGGAAACAATCATTATGCAATGTGATAAGTGCAAAAATTAAGTATTGTTTGTTAATGTCTTGAGGGAGCTTAGTGGAAGGAAAGAAGACATTCGAAATGGGATTCATCCCTCAGCTAAGTGGTTGGATTAGATAACTCTTAAGGTTCCTTCTGACCATTCTGATGATAGGATGTTTCTCTGTGTTTCAGAAAGTGGTGGAAAGAGAGCTGGATGCTCTTTTGGAACAACAAAACACCATTGAAAGTAAAATGGTCACTCTCCACCGAATGGGGTGAGTGTTCATCTCAGCGAAAGCTATTGTAAATTCCAACAGTGTCCACTGGATAAGTTGTCATTTTTCCTAACTTTCTGTTATAAAATGCCAGTTGAGTTTGAAACAGTGTAGAGGAGCATTACCTCATGGTAAGGTATAGTTAAGTGGTTTTTGAAGTGTTCTGGACCAACAGTACCAACACTACTTGGAAACTTGTTGGAAATGCATATTCTAGGGCCCCACCCCAAACCTGCTGAATCAGAAACTGGGAATGGAGTTCAGGAATCTGTATTTTAACAAGTGTACCAAGTATTTCTCAAGTGCATGGCTCAAGTTTGAGAACTGTTTTCACAGATTTTGTGTATTTGCTAGTCAGAAAAATTGCTCTTTGACCTCATCATTCTCTCAGATTGTTGATTGGTACATTTTATGCTCACTTAGCAATTGAAAGAATCTGTTCTCTAATTCTTTGGCAGTACCTATTTAGGGGTGTCTTTAGTAGTTATAGAAATTACTACTTATTAAGTATAGGCCTGAGTTTACAGTAAAACACTCTTGAAAAAAAAGCTTTTAATAGCGTGAACTAAACTAAGAATTGTGGGGAGGTACAAAAGAAGTAGAAGACATAGTCTCCATCTGCAAAAAACAATTTTCCATCTCTTACTCCTACCCCTATGGATATATGTGTGCTGACAATGTGTATCTCTAGTCCCAACTTGCAGTTGATTGAAGGAGATGCAAAGCAGCTAGCTGGAATGATCACCTTTACCTGCAACCTAGCTGAGAATGTGTCCAGCAAAGTCCGTCAGCTTGACCTAGCCAAGGTAATCCCATTATGGTGTTGATGTTTGAGTCACTAGAGGGCAGTAGAAAAGCCACCATATTAGAAATTAGAGTAGCACCATCCAATAGAAATCTAAAGCAAGATACCAAAACCAGACAAAGATATCACAAGAAAAGAAGACTCCAAACCAATAGCTCTTATGAATACAGACGTAAAATTTTTCAACAACACTAGCAAACCAAATCCAGCAACATATAAAAAGGACTATGTTTTGAGCAAGGATTTATCCCAGGAATGCAAGATTGGTTTTATATCTGAAAAGTCAATGTACTAAACCATATCAATAGAATACAGGACAAAAACCACATGATTACCTCATAGACTCAAAAACATATTTGACAAAATTTAACACCCCTTATAAAAACACTTAAACTTGGAATAGAAAGGAACTTTCTCAACCTGATAAAGGGCATCTATGAAAAGCCCACAGATAACATACTTATTGGTGAAAAGATTGGTTGCTTTCCCCCCGAAATCAGACCAAAATAAGGATGTCAGCTCTTGCCAGTTCTCTTCAACATTGTACTGGAGGTTGAAGCCACACAATTAGGCAAGAAAATGAAATAAAAATTATTCAGATTGGAAAAAAATTTAATACCAACCACAATCGTAATTTAAAATTTTCTGGTAGCCATTTTTTAAAAATAAAAAGGTGAAAATAATTTTTGAAATATGCTATTGAACTCATTATATCCAAGATACAATTTAAATATGTAATCACTATGAAATGATATTAATGAGGTTTTTTATCTTCTTTGTTTTTGTACTAAATCTTTGAAATCCAGTGTGTGTTTTATACATGAACACCTTAATTTGGACTACCACATTTCAAGTTCTCAGTAGCCATATGTGGCTAGTGGCAACTATACTGAACAAAATAGCTCCAAGTCTAGGCTCTTGAACAAGTCATTACCAGCCTTGGCTTGTCCTGTGAAATAGCATAACTTTCCCCAATCTTATCTGTTCAAATAATGCAAAATAATCACAAAACACTAAGCTACACAGCCACCAGCTCACATATTAAAGGGTTTTTTAAACGTTTTGTTTGTTCTAAAGGAAAAATACTTTCCACATATTTCACTTACTTTATAACTTGGTTTACAATGTCACATTTCCAAAATGTCAAATACATTCTGATGCTATTGTAAAATTTTACAATGTAAGCCAAATATAAATATGGATTATCCCTGTTCTTGCTTCCATGAAAATGAATGACCTGGTCACATAAATAAAATTGCCTGATACCTACCTGTCAGTGGTATTGATCATCAAAACAGTTTCATGAGTGAAAGTGGTGGTATTTTTTAGTTCACCAGTGAAAGCTGAAAAGGACCTGTGGTTAACCAGATTCTGTCCCTGAATCTCCCTACCTTCTGCAGTGATGTTTGTGAAAGAACAGGACATTGTTTCTGAGCACCAAGTCTTTTTGCAGAACCGCCTCTATCAAGCCATTCAGAGAGCCGATGACATCTTAGACCTGAAGTTCTGTATGGATGGAGTTCAGACAGCTTTGAGGAATGAAGATTATGAGCAGGCCGCAGCCCACATTCATCGCTACTTGTGCCTGGACAAGTCAGTCATTGAGCTGAGCCGACAGGGCAAAGAAGGTCGGCATCTCAAACTGTTGATTTCTAGTTTAGTTACAAGCATCTGCAATCTGAACTAGGCACACTCAACCAGGAAAAGGGATCTGTTATCAGGAAATGTCCCTGTCTGGCAATATCCTATGTAGGTCCTAGACCATCCTGGGGCAGTGGTGTTCTTCCCATTTTATAGAAAAGAAAACAATCTAAATTTGCTGTTCTCTGGCCAGAGGGAACTTTCCACTTGACTATATTGCCTACTTAAAAACTTAAATTCTTAGCCTGGTATTCTGGGCCTTCCATGATCTCAACTCACCCTTTCTAGCATTATTTCTTTCTAGCCTTATTTCATGCTATTCACTTATGCATTATTCACTGCATAAATTATTGAGCTCATTTATATGCCAGGGCATATACAGTTGACCCTTAAACAACATGGGGGTTAGGGGCGCTGACCT